GACCCCAGTCGTATATTCTTGAACAAAGCATATACGAATGGGGGCGCCGCCACTTTATTAGTGGGGGTCCTGAGCGGCCAGAAACAGCCGTGACCCTTCCTCTCCAGATATCAGTCATTACTGTGATGGATAAAACTTACATCCACGACTAATAATTGGCTTTATATCCCCTGATTTTTTTTTTTTTTTTTTCCCCTTAACCTAGATAAAGGTCCCCATCCCTTTCAAATAATATTGGCATGGTTTTTTGATGTCAGGATAGTGGATTACAGAATCCCCAACTTCACAAACTTTGTTAAAGTAAAATGCATTAAACCCCTTACTAGTATTCTCCATGGCCACATTATATAAAGAACAATGCCAATTAATACGAGCAGAATATGAGACCATATTAAGTGCACAAGAGGAAATTGAATCTCCTTAATAAATTTCAAGTATTTAAACCTGACATTCTTTAATTTTGTCACTGTAATTTTCCCTCTATGGATAATTTGAGATGAAATCCCCAATTCCATACTTGCCCCAATACGAAAGAAGTGGGATTTGTAGTCCCAAGACTCGAGGTTTAAGACTTAAGGTTTGGCTAAATTCAAAGTAAAATGGTACTTAGTGAAAGGAGATCCGGAAAAATTGACAAAATAATTGACCCCTTGGGTAGGTCTAATTTCTAAAAACCTTTGAAGATTAGTGCAGGGGCAAGTTAAATCCTCTGTGTCATGTATCTGCAAAGTTGTTACCCTTCCATATTGGACCGTCTTAAACTCTTTTTTTTTTTTTTTTTTTTTTTCTTCTTTAATTAATTAATTAATGATGTGTCGCCAAATTGAATTTCTGTATTGGCAACAACTCCATCTGAGGATTTTTTTTTTTTTTTTTTTTTTTTTTTTTTTTTTTTTTTTTTTTTTTTAAAGAAAGTTTTAGTATACACTAGAAAATGCAGCTGAAAACAATTAATGATACCTCATATGAATTTGTACATACGCAGGGTAAAATTTTAAGAATCTGCTTTAATATGGACCTTTTCAAGGGCAACCTACTGTCAATGCTGTGAGCTGTGCTTTTTTAACGCCTGTAACAACTTTTAAGTATGAACTCTTCTGTTAGGTCTATGTGACCTTGAAGTTTGCAATTATAAGAAACGGAATCTAAGTTAGGACGAAATGTCGAAAACACAAGGCCTTAAATTGACCAGTGTGCAACAAATCTAACAATCAAATAACAAGGGGGAGCCAAATAGTATTTAATCCTTGTTGCAAACAGCAGCTGAAGTATGCTCTTACGCCTAATTAATAAGCCTTGCTAGTGTTTTCAGAAAATGCTGCCCCTAACAACTTGTTTAATTTATGCTAGATACGAGGTTCTGGAATTCGATTGGTACAGGTTGTAGTGATGTATGTGGTGCAGTTTGCAAGAAAGGTGCCACTGCTGACGAGAAATGGAATCGGCACTACTGTTATAATTAGTACGGAAGTGAACAGCACGAAAAATTATATTGTTTAAAAGCAGTCTAACACAAATGATCGAATTAATCTCATCACTCTACTGGATTTTGAGGGCTGTATGTTCAAAACCGTAACCAATGCCTCATTATCAATATAAAACCGTATTTTGAGGACTGTATGTTCAAAACCGTAACCAATGCCTCATTATCAATATAAAACCGTATTCTCTTATTTGCAAGTTGACTACCACCTAAACTGACAGCCAAAACTACTAGGATAAGATCTAGTGTCGTCATGTCATGCAATATATCTGAAGAACTGTAGTCACCCATTCACGTAGCTAAGGGAAATAGCACCATTGCCCTAAAAAGTATGCTCCAGAACCCAGATGTGAAGAAACGGCACTATCTGTATACAGATCTAAAATTTAATTTGACGACCAATCAGTTTCTTGGAAATAATCTTGACCATTAAATTGTTCTGGGCATATATCTTGCTTCATTTCATTGTTTAACATAGTATGATGATGAGGCTTAGATACCCCCGGGTTGAATCGTACAATCTCCTCACAAACTTGTAAGAGAAATTGAGCTTCCGCAACAATGACTATAACTGCCGTAGAACTATTAATTAATGTTCCTACAGTATGATACATTTTTCAAGAGGTATTCTGTCAATTCTGATCAGCATCTGCATTGTTTCATTTTCTAAACCTACAAGACAGTGAGTGGGATAAACCGTTTTGTCATCAGTTAAGGGGAACCCACAGTTGAATACAAACCCCTTGCGATGTTTGCATTAATTTAAGAATGACTCGCTTTCTTTATCTGCAAATATGAAATCATCTATGTAAATAATGATCTTTTTTTTTTTTTTTTAATCCAGTGCAAGAATATTTGAAATTCTTAAAAGCTTTGTGTGAGAGAGGGAGATGCCTTGAAGACATTTATCAAAGTAATATATAGACCCTCTACTTTGAATCGTAAAAGGTCAAAATCCCCAGGGAACGTATGTAGAAACCTAAAGCTACTTTCACAAATTATGCATGCACCTTCACCAACCTTGGCCAACATTTTTATTACTATTAAAGGATGTATAATAACTGTGAACTTACTATGGTTTATGTAGTGATTTTCACTGCTGTCTGCAGGATATGAAAGGTGCCTTATCAATCGCCACCCAGAGTTATCCCTCTTTGGTACCACTCCCACTGGAGATACTCTGAGATTACATATGGGTAACCCCCCCCCCCCCCTTCTTAATTCATCTTCTTTGTTATTATTTTATCATTATTCCTGCTTTGTACTGATAAGCTGAAATTAAATTGATATTTTTTATATGTAACATTGGACTTGAGATATAATCTCTGAACCCCCGAGAAAAACCCATGCACTCAACAATTTGTTGCTACAGGTTTGTTTGTATAACGATTAGTGTCGGATCATATTTAATATAGGAATTTTAATTGGTATGTTTCCTACGGTCAAATATTTTTAGCCATTTTCCTTGTATTTTTGGATGTGGGACTGAAATATTTGTTAGGAGTTTGGTGGAGCTTGATGTCCTGTATATGGATTTCTATATTGTAAACTAATTGTGGTTGCATGGGCTTGGTTCGACCGAATGAGCTCCTAGTATTTTATTTACCTGGGCTCTTTAAAAATTGCATTGTATGACTGTGTCACTGTGCATGCCAACACCACTTGTACAAGTGCGCATGTACTGACACAGATTTGACTGCAGGACCCCTTAAAATTGAAATCAACGCACATTTTGTTTGAGAGCGTTGAGTCTGGAGAAATTCCAGTCAGTAACTAGGATTCATGTACAACAACAGTTCTAAATCAACTAAGGCCCAAGAAATAAGGGATCTGTAGATTTCCGAAGACGATACTGCGTGAAATATTCAAACCCCAAGCGAACTGTATGGACAAACTTAGGATATCTATTGCTTTATCTGGATGGGCAGATATGTAAACAGATGCAAACATGAGCATGACATCCGTCAGTTTTTCAATTGGAAATATTTTTTGAGACAATTTTCTTTGTTACAATTTCTCCTGTGCACTAATGGTTAGTTTTCATAGTTTTTTTTTTTTTTTTTTTTTTTTTTTATTATTTTTTTTTTTTAATCAGTACCCCCCCCCCCCCAGTTTGAGTGAAAGCAGAGACTGTACTTCTACAAGCTGGAAACCTGTAGACACCAGTTTGAAAGCTGGTGTTATAATCAGTGATATAAAGTAATATTTTACTGTTTGTAACGAAATAGTTATATGCTTACCTGTATTGACTATTGTTCTGATTTATTCAGTTTTTTTTTTTTTTTTTTTTTTTCTTTTTTTTTTTTTTAGTTAAATAAACAGTCATCATTTACAAAGTAATGAGGCTGAAAAGAGTCAATTAGCCATAGATTGCATGATAAAGAGTTATAAAATTATTATCGATTACTTTAAATTTTTTAACTCGGGACAAAGATGGCGGCTAGCACATGGTGATGCAAAAAGACAAATTGAAATGAATCTCATCCTAATCTAAATTTAAACCTTTGTTATCGAGTAGATAAGTAAACAATACGAATTCATAAAAAATAGTAACTGCTATTTCTTAAATCTACGCTTAGCAATTGTTTTCTCCAATTTGATTAACACCAACCTTGCAACTAGCGTGTAACTGGCAAAGAGAGAGTTTGCAGCACGAGCACCTGTCTTTATATAATTGAAAGTTAGATAACTCGTGCTGAAACAAGGAGAGATAACTGCGCCAAAAAATATTGCGCTGCCAAGATAAAAGCATCTTATTCGCATATGGGCGAGATAGATGCTATATTGTAAACTCATACTCACTTGATATGAAATTCTCTTACACTGATGAGTATGAGGCACCGTTCTAGTATTTTTGAGGTATTTTTTGATTTCAGAAAATAATGTTCTGATATCAGAAAATACCTCAAATATATTAAAACGGTGCCTCATAGATGAGTGGCAATTATTTTATTCAATGTCTACTTAGTATAGTATGTTAGGGCATCAACGATAGTGGGAAACATGGAATAATTTGCATAACGGGCTTCGTCCGTTATGCATAAATTATGCTACGTTTCCCACTATCGTTGATGTCCCTGTCATACAATACTAACTAGACAATGATTCCTTATATTTCCATTTCATTGTGAAATAAAATTGTAGATTTAGACTTAAAAATGTAGACATAGATTAAAATTACATGAAGACTCCCATGCCAATTTCAATAGTCCTCGCTCACTGACTTCAAACACAAAAGCAGCCGCATGAGATTAACATGCACATTTGGCCTTCTTAGCGTCAGACACAGAGACAGATGTGCTCGAGATTTGCATACAAATTAGGCCTCCTTAGCCCCTGAAATATCGACCTGCCTAATTTACATTCAGGTAGAATTATCAAGAAATCATCTCCGCTTACTTTCAAAGAGTTATCACGGAGAAAAAAAAATGAAATGGAAATATTAGATGGAGAAAGAGTGGTACTCTGTTAAAAATCAAGTTTCTAATGAGTGTACGACACACATAGTCTTTAATTTTTCATTAAAAATGAAATTATTTCATTTATTTGCCCAATGCAATACATCATTAAAAAATAATACAAATATTAAAAATACAAAATTTTACAAACAATTATAATTGACAATAACAAAATTAATCTTTTTTACATCTCAGACAATTCAAAAGCAATTGTTTAAATTTACTGTAATAGAGCCTACATTCCTCCCTAAATCGCTCGTCCATAAAGCTGTACACAATTGGATTGGTGACATTGCTAATAAAGTATAAACGAAGAAGAATGAAAACAGAGGCACCAAGTTTCATCGATATCGCTGTAAATGTTGCAGTGTCAAGTGCCTTGATGACCGAAAACACTGTATTAGGTAAATAACCTAGATACGACACACTTGTTGCTACTAGAAACATTAATGTAATTTTCTTAGAACGGTTGATTTTGGTTTTCCTCTTGTGAATCTGTGATACGCCATTGCTTGAGTGATTCTTATTCACTTTTAAATGTTCGGTGTTTAAACTAGAGGGGTCATCCTCAATTTCGACTTTGTCAAGAGAAGCCATCGACCCCAGTGTCGCTAATTTGGTTGTTGAGCAGTGAGTATTCAAAGAGTAAGACGACAACGCATTCAATTTGTTTCGACGTAACTGGGCTCTTTTGCGAAATTGCATTTGCCTATATAGTACCTTTCCGACACAAATGTATATAATGATACACATAACAAACACACATGTTGAGAAGAGCAACAAAGCTCCACTGTAGAGTTTAAAGTAAGATTTATATTTGGTCAGACTTGTGCAATCTGATGCTAAAATACCCGGATGGAAGGTCGCAGATACATTGGCGCCATATATCACAACAGCTGGCACACCTAAAATGGAACTCACAAGTAATGTTATGATACAAGCTATTTTGGCTTGTTTGAGTGACATCTGAACTTTGGTTGGCTGGCATGCCTTTCGAAATCGTTCAACGGCTATTAATCCGAGAAGAAATCCAGAAGAAACACTTGCTGTGTGGTTGAGAAAACGGAATATTTTACAAGCCCAAGAAGCCGTGAATGTGTACCTGTATCTAATGTCGTACATTTCAAATGGAATACTCACAGTACACGAGAATAAATCGACAGCCGCTAACCACAAGATAAATATACGGTGATTTGAAGGTTTGTAACGTTGAGAGTAGACAAGAAGAACATGTAAATTTCCGAAAGTACCCACTATTCCTAGGATTAAGAGGTAAAGGAATATTGGGAGATATTCCGCTATAAATTCGGAATATTCCAGTTCTTCAAGGTTGTGTATGTGACCCGTCGAGTTTGTTGAAATATTCATGATCACCATCTATGAAATTCACAAAATTCAGAGACATAAATTTCATTTGAACCCGGCAATGATAGTTAGACAATACGTATCATTGTGATAAATATAACTCAGATGACGTCCTATGGACTGCAGACATTATAATAATCTCTTACAACATTTTGCAGTTATTACGTTAAGTTCTCACGGATTACATATTCCATAGCTAACTGGGATGCATGTTCAGATGAATAGATATTGCTGCATGCAGTTAAAATAGGATATAAATTCGTCATACATTTGCAGTAAGTACACGTTTAGCTACTGTTTATCTATGTAATAGGCCGACTTACCGTACTATATCCCGTGTCGTTAATGTTTCAGGAGATTTTAACCCTCGGTCTTTTTGCGCATCATTGTAGTAAACTGAAATAGTTTAGATATACACCACCAGGAAAGATTAAAGCCACTTCAAATCGGTTACATTTTAACTGTATTTTACAAACCTAAAGATCCACTTGATTAAATCATTTGTAAGGAATGTCAATGTTCACATATTTTAGCCCGGTCCTTTACTCGCCGTTCAGTCTTGCTGTTCCGGAACCACTTAGGGATGTCCGATACCTCTTATGAACATTTACTTAACAGTGTCACGGATTGCAAGAAGTTAATTACTCATACACTTAGATCTACCTTCACTGTAGCATCTACCTTCCGTATATATATGAGTACATACACCAGAACATCATATAAATTGACAGTTTCGGCTCGTATGGATTTCTAGAATCTTTCAATTTTAATCCATTTTCCGGTGTTTTATTACTGTACAATTTGAGCGCACTGTCCTTTTCACAAAGATCATTAACTTTAGTAGTAATTATTGGTGAAATCATTTAAAATCTATTTCTTACCGACAAACAAGAAAACCCTATATTTATAAGTGGAATCTTTTATATATAATGAATATTAAAGGTTAAAAAAAATGTTCTTTGGACAGTGAGGGGACACTAATTGATAGAGTTGTAACCATTTACAAGTAAATAAAAATTTGTGGGGAAAATCTTTTAAAGATCTATAAATTAATAAAAGAAATAAAATTATGAAACAAATTTATTTTTTAAATAATCATTTCGAAAGGAATGTGATATGGGTGTGTTTTATTTAGTATTTTCGGATAAATTCACTTGACCAAAAACCTAGCTCTGTGTCTTTTAAAAGGTTAAAAGTACTGAACGTTTTCCTTGAAAATATACTTTTTAAACAATTTCAAAAAATTACAAGTATTTCCGGATTTAGTTTGCGCTTTAGATCTATTTTCTTTCTATTTATGCAATGTGTTCAAAATGCACTTCATACAAATTCTGTCTCCCTACAAATTAAAAATTTTGTATTTACTATTTTTATTTTTTTTTTTAAAATGTGGGAATACAGTACTTAATTAAGGACATTGGCAAGGTTCCTGGCTTTTGTATAGATTTTTTCAAGAACTCTTGAACAGTTTTAATGATAAAAAACGTGTTATATTCTGGTACATTTAACCCACCAAGCCACCCTTCCTTATTAGATTTTGTCAAATCAATGTTTTTACAATTCTCAATGCATTTCCTATGTAAAATGTGGATAAAAAGGACCTACTTAATTTTTTACCATAAAAATTTTCCAAAATCCAGTCATTTCAGAAAATTTATATATTATATACATTATTGTATCCTCATTTCCAATCATATCTAGATATCATGACTGAAAACACAAATTTAGAAACATGACCCAGATCTACCAACACTGTTCATTATTTTAGGGTTACTTCCCTTAGAATCTAATTCGTATTCATAATGGTAAAGACTGTTTGACTGTTTATGTTACTAAGTAATTTACCATATTGGAAACAAATTTTCATAAAAATATTGGCATAGACTTGTTTTATATTTGTTTACAGTAAATGGTGCCTCCTTTGCACGACCTCATTCAGTTACATTCTCGGCATTTGTCATATCTTGTCATGTGATTGTCATTCCCAGCATGGGTATACGGTAAATAACGGTCTGTTGACCACTGTGTACTGTCTGTCCCTGAACACAATGTACAACAAAACCGTTTTTCTTTCTTGCTGTAGAGATGATTCTACCCGTTGAAGGAAGCACGTGTTATTGTTTACCTTAAAATACGCTTTGTTGGTTTTCATTTCATAGAGAATTTTACACGGGAGATCACTCTCAATCACAGTTTTATAAGTGAATAAACCCATGATATAAACCTTTTTTCTCCGGATAACCGTGACTTGCCATTGTCCTTAATTATGAGTGTATTTGCTTCGGAACTTCAGTGTACACATACATCGATCGTTATTCCACCTGTTTTAATATTAGCGTGAGAGTCTGAAACTATTCACTTTCACTTTGATTTCATACATGTTCAACAATGTACGAGGGCTGTTCAATAAATAATGTCCTCGGTGCTCGGAAAGAAACAAAAAAAAAAAACCGCTTTTCAATGATTTAATCTTAATGATTTCACTTAAATATTCTCCCTTAATTAAAACATACGCCCAGAACATTTGAATCCAATTTCTGGTTGATTTTAGAACACATTTTTTGGTATCGCCCTTCGTATACTGGAAAATGGCAGATTGTATGATTTCCTGGACTTGTTTCTTCTTTCTGAAAGGTGTTTTTTCTTTTCAAGTTTGAAAAATGAAAAGTCAAAGGGTGAAAGATCTGGCGAATCTTGTTAGTTTGACAAAACATTAACGTTTTGTTTATCCCCCAAACTCCTTTACTGTGGTCGTTTGGGTTTTGACACTGTCATGAAGAAATTTAATGTAGTGGATTCCTGATTCTGAGTCCTTCATCTCATAAACCTTTAGATTTCTTGGCAAAAATGTTGCTTTCTAGACTCCTCCAGAAATTAAACTGTCTCCATAAAATAAGAATATGAACAACAAGACCACTAATATTTAAGATATGGCATATAAAACTCTTTTGCACTTGCAATTCTTTGCTCTTCTCAGACGATTGCTGTTTTTGTCAAGTACATCTTATTGTTAATTTGTTTTGGGAGTTTAAAGCAATGGATTCAAGTTTCATTTTCTGTTTGAATTTCAGACAAAGGTGGAAAAAAAGAATTTCTGATTTTTTAAAATAATTGTTTAAATATTCTTACGCTGTAGTTTTCACTCATTTTTCAAAACTTAGGGTGACCATTGAGTAGCAAGCTTTTTTATTGTTAAATGTTTCTTTAAAACAATGTGAACTACCCCCAAAATGATGCCTATCAATTTGCTCTGGGTTATAAAGTCAATCCAACATCATCAATAATAATCTATTGAATTTTGGCAAATAGTACATTGGCTGTTGTAAGTCCTTTTCGCCAAGGAGGTACCCATATTTGTATGCCCATTATATCATTTTTGTTCATTGAAATCCACCTGTTCAGGCGTCTATAAAACAGACATCTGTTGCTGTAAATTTCACATATTTCAGAAATATTTCTTTTGGATTCTTAACGTTTCACTGCAGCTTTAATGAAGCGTTTAATTTCACTCTTCTTTACTGATTCTCTACCATTCATTTTTAATGCAGTGTCTCGAATAGCCCTTGTTTTCCAGATTCTCACAATATTATGAATTCTTGTGATGAGAAGTGGTCACATAAAATGTGGATAAACAATTCATTAAAGATTCAATCATGAGAGAAAGTCAAATTTAATGTCATCCTATGATTTCTATGTTTTATGTCATAGAGTTCAGGACTTTATTTATTTTCGTTTTTTATCCATTTTAACTGACTGTGAAAATGTACGATTCATCTGATGCTAATTCTTTAATCAGGTAAATAATTATCAACTACATGTTCATGTACATGTATTATAACTTCGAAAGAAATATTTAAGGAAGGGCAAAAGTGGTTCCTTAATAAAAACCTGACTGTACAAAAGTCACAGCTGGATATTAAGAATAATAAATCCGCTTTCCGTCATTTCTCGATCATGATAAGGAGCACACGGTGGATTTGGCCGGTCGGCATGGGATGCTTATCCTCAATGGATCCTGATCCCACCTTTGACGTTTTGTGTGTCCGTCTTTGCTCTGATCCTATTTTGTATTGTTTAATAGACTGTGGGTTTAAATACTATAGCTTTTGTTGCCTTTATCAGGCCATTGAATGGGTAGTTTAAAATGAATAAAAATTACTTCACTGTTCATTAGTATTTTGTTCGATAAAAAATATTAGAACATAATGATATTTTATGTTTTTGTCCATGAACATGCTATTTAACGTTGTTTTCTTAGCTATAATAACATTATCAGAATCTATCTCTCTCTCTCATTATATGTTTGTTCACTGTTTATACTCCCAGCTGATACCTATCCGGTGTAATTAACGCTCATGATCTAACAAAGCATGTCTATTGTCTAATTGTCAGATTTTGTTGTCTCGAACAACATGCATATGGAACAAAACGGACAACACAAGCGTGTACTACTACCTCGTGTAGAGGAAAGAATCTCAGCAGTTGTATGGCTCCCTTACACCGGAAGATGCGTGAGGAAATTAACAGGAAGTAACTTACACCTTGCCAAGTAGTGTTAATTTTAAACTCAGAATTTTTCATTTCTTTAACATAGTTAGTACATTGTAAAAAAAAAGTTCACTGTTTACGTGAGACAAGGCAACCTGACTCAATGGAGAACATCTGACTACAAGTAAAGAGAATTAATAACAAGATATGGCGATATTGCTAGATTGTAAGTCATTACGTTCAAAAAGTGAGGGGATGTCAAAAAAAAAATGTTTATTTATTTATATACAAATTTCACGTGAATCACTTAATTTTCATACAACAAAGTTATGGACAGAATACAGAAATATTACATGTGTGTAACCAATTTGTATATACGAACAAGCCCATGTCTATAATATATTCTACGAAGAGTATGAATACAATTACTTCACTGTTCATTTATTTAGTATTTTGTTCAATAAAAGATATTAGAACAGAATGATATTTTATGTTTTTGTTCATTAACATGCTATTTAACATTGTTTTCTTAGCTAATATACTTGTACTTATTACATTATCAGAATCTGACTTTCTCTTTCAGTATATGTTTGTTTACTTTTCATATTGTTTTAAAGTAAGAGATTCTCATTTCTATAACATACATTTGTATTTAGTACAGTATAAAAATTTCACTGTTTACTTTGGACAAGGTGATCTGACTCAAAGGAGATCAATTGACTACATTAGTAAAGATAATTGATAACAAGTAATAATGACATTATTGCTAGATTGTAAGTCATAATGTTTAAAAAGTGGGTGGGGTCAAAATAAGACTATTATATACAAATTTCACGCGAATCATTTCATTTCCATACAACAACAAAGTTATGAGCGGAATCCAAAAATAATATATCCCATGTCCATACCCTATGAGAAGTTAGAATAATACAAATCTCGTATTTCCATAACGTCCCTTGTGTTGTTTAATGTAATCGTGTCCCATATAAGGTGATTGTGTGCAACCCACTGTGCAGTGAAAAATATTTCACTTTAAATTATAAATCGAATAAAAATATCAGATTTGTTCTTTTACTTAATATTGTTTTTGTGTCATGCCCCAAAACAGGGGACTAATTAGATATATGTACATGCAGTATATCTCATTTTTTTGCACAAACAAAACAAATGTCAAAGTTAAAATGTATTTCTTTCGAATGTAAATACGATTATTTAAAAGAAAATATCAATTTTTTTTTTTCATTGGTAGAAAAACATTTAATGCAGTATCTGTTTTTCTCTCGAATCTTTTACTCTGTTGTTGTTGGACTCAGTTGTTCACTGAAATAAGAAAATAAACTACTTGAGAATTGACAAAATACTGTACATGGTGACACGAGTTGAAATAAAAAAAAAACAAAAACACTTGTATATTTTTTAAATGTCTTTAAAAGGATGATTATATTGATAAAGGTGTAATATATGGATAATAAATAAGGAAAAAAAGACACGTGATTTAAGTGTAGAAATATGTGACAAACCCGTCTATGTCCTTATTTTCAGTTGGCACTTTAGCATACTTCACTTCTACCCTCTGATCTGGTGGAACAGTTTTATTGGCATATTTCCAATCTTTCCAGTTCCTCGTCCATATAACAAGGCAGATTAAGCAGACTAATGATGCGCATCTCATACAAAAGGAAAGACCCTGGAAGGAAAGTCGGAGGGATCGAAGGTCATAGAGTTCACATGCACCGGAAGATGAGCAAGAA